TATATCAATTATTAAAAACTTTAAACCAATTAACAATTAATATAATTGTCTACCAAATACAGTATCAGCTCTCCTAAAGAGTTTTTACAAATTCTTCACTCCAACCCACCTCAGGATGAAGTCTTAGCATCCTTAGACATTGAAAACTTATTCACTAATATTCTACTCCATGAAACAGTTGTCATTATTTTAAATAACATTTATCGCCATTCTTCTCTGCCACCTCTGAAAATTTCCCCCCTCCCCCAAAAAAACTTTTTTTAGTATCCACGAGTCCCTTTTCATGATTACTTTGGTAATATTTATACTTGGACTGACAGCATTGCTATGGGCAGCCCTCACTGCTCTTTATTTTATGTGGCCAACTTAGAAAACAAAATATTCAATAAAATAAATAAACCCACCTTTTATTCCAGATATATTGATGACATCTTCATCCAAAACAAATCTGTTGATGACATTATAGAACTTTAAAAAAAACAATTTTGGAAAGAATTCTGTTTTAAAGTTCACTTCAGAAGTAAATATCAATAAAAAATTTAACTTCTAGATATTCTCTTTGCTTATAACAGTGATAATTTAAACACATATCTGTATAAAAAGCCTACTCATTCCAATTCTTGCCTTTTAAACTGCAACAGTGAATGCCCTGAAAAATATAAAACTGCTGTCATTGATAACCTAATCCAAAGTGCTAAATTCATTTTCTCATCTATATAATATAAAACATACACTTATCAATAATGGTGCCTTAATTATATAGTCAACAAGCAAATCAAATTTCATCTAAACAACAACAATTTTAATAATAAGAACTAGTCATAAACATAATATTGACATTAATGCTATTAACATATATTACCAAAATCAAATGCCCTACAATTACAAAATAGAGATAACAGCAATAAAAAATATCATAGGTATGTAAAACCAACTGATAAAAATAAATACATTAGATTTATTGTTCACTACAAAAAGTTCAATGCTAGCAACTTTGTTAATAAAATAATTTATCCCAAACTTCCAACCTGTATCTAACATCAATGTTGTGTATGGATATACTTGCCCACTCACAGTGTGTTTCTCTGTAAATAAAAAAACACAAAAATCTTACATAGGTTATACCATAACTATACTTTCATGAAAGTTGTCAAATTATTGGACCATGGTGCCATCAGAAAACACATTAAGCTGCATAAGATTCATAGTAAAATTTGCTCACAAACAATAACCAAAATAATAGCAAAATTAAATAGTAAAAACAAATTTATGATCCTTGAAGCAATTCTCATACAATAAAAACAACTACAAGAGCCTGCATCCTTAAATTTATATATAAAAAACACATTACATCTTGTTTTATTTATGCCACAACACTCATTAATTCTACAACTTTAGATCCAAAAATGTGTTCCATATACTTCTATCAGCTTATGTTTAAAAGTAGCATTGTTACACTATTTCAAAATTTTACTAAACTCATCAATTGTCTCTATCTGCTCTGATGATGACTTAAGAAAGCCAAAAGCTGGAACCATATTTTCTGTACTTTTCTTCTGGAATGAACTTTAGATAATTTCTGAGAAAATTTCTTCTGTAACTGAGAAGGATTATTTGTAATGTGGAAAACTGATCATTAAAATTAATCAACATAAAATGTCTCTTGTTTTTAATAGTAGTTGTCTAATATTTTCTGCTTAAATACATAGAATATATATTTTAATTTTTATTAAGAAAGTGTTAAAACAGTGTATTTTCAAGAGTATCATTTGATCATTCCAATTGACAATGTCAGAGAAAATGAAAACAAAAAGAACACTTATATTTAACATCAGGAAGAGAGATTTGAAATTTCTAGGGTACAGATGGCTTAGATAGTTGAAATTTCTAGGGTACAGTTGGCATAGATAGTTGAAATTTCTAGGGTACAGATGGCTTAGATAGTTGAAATTTCTAGGGTACAGATGGCTTAGATAGTTGAAATCTCTAGGGTACAGATGGCTTAGATAGTTGAAATTTCTAGGGTACAGATGGCTTAGATAGTTGAAATTTCTAGGGTAAAGATGGTTTAGATAGATAAAATTTCTAGGGTACAGATAGCTTAGAAATTTCTTGGGCACAGATGGCTTAGATAGGTAAAATTTCTAGGGCACTGATAGCTTAAATAGTTGAAATTTTTAGGCCACAAATTGCTTAGAAATTTCTAGGGCACAGATGACTGAGATAGTTAAAATTCTCTGAGTTCATTGTTGAAGGAATCACAGTCATACAAAAGTCATTATTATAAAGTATTGATAATTATGGAAATTAAATAATTCTTTTATTTATTATCAATTCCTGTATTAAACATTTTTTTCACCAATATTAAGTCAATAAATGTCATCAAATTTGGAATGTTTAATCAGAAACAATAAAGGTGAGATGTATACACACACACACACACACACACACACACCTCAATAAACCTAAACCTAAATATTTATATACCTATACACACATATCTAAAGGGTGTTTCATTATGATAGATTAAAGTCAGCAGTAAATAAATCAGTGTTATTGGTGAAAATTTATTTCTTTCTCTATTGGATCATGTTATTTAAGTCATGGCAATTATGTGTGAAAAATAATATTACCCAAATATCCACCAAATCTGAAAGAAAAAGAAAAAAATCATTAGACGCTTAAACTTAATTCACATTTAAAATCAGTCCAAGTTATTGGAACACCCTTTATATGCACAAATAAATACATGATATATATATATATATATATATATATATATATATATATAAAACCAAATTGATAAATATAGATAAATGTATGTGTAATCAATGTAAGATTTCTTTATATATATATATAAGAGGTGATACTGAAATTTCCTTGGTCCAATCAAGAAGAGATTCACTCTTGATATTTGGACAGATTTAGGGAAGAAAAATGAGCTGAGAACTTTTCAGCACTGACTTCATCTGCATATACCCATTCAACAGTTTAGAAGCTAGAATCACCATAGACTGTGTGCAAGCTTTTCATGCATTACATCCAAACCTTGTAAATATGTTAACTTTGTATAATAAAATGCCTTTATATTTAGGTCTGAATCATTACAGACCAATTTCAATAGTTGTTACATTTACTAGTCCAAATAAAACTTACTTACTTTTACATTTACTAGTCCAAAACCACTTTGTACAGTTCTTAAATTTATTTGTCTAAAGTCTTTTTTTATAACACTTTGGACAATTTCAGTTCTCTAAATAAGTTCTTCAGTTCTTGAAATAAGTCTTTGTGTACCACTTCTCTTAATACATAATCCTGGATGTCCCCATACAAAATCTGACATTATATAACTCAACATGTCATAAAAATCAACCAACCTAATAGAGAAGACTTATATCTAAGTAAAACATTGATGAAAAATGTTTGAAATATTTCTGTTGTATTTCTCTTTATGACTAATAAACCTGCTATCTCCAACAGATTTGTAAGACATCTTGAACTCCTGTTTTCCTAATGCACTGTCTCCTTTGTGTTTCTTCTTTTACATCTGATATGCAATGACATTTTAATTGTGCAGCTGACAAGGAGAAAATAACTGAAGTGCAGAAAGGTTGTTACTTCACATATGTAACTGAAAGATTATCATCTGGGTCTATTCATAAAGTTGGAGCACACACAATATTGGGTGGAGGCTTACTACCTGTGTGTGACTTTTTATTTCTTACCAAATTACTAGTATACTGTCAGGTGAATTTGAGATCTTCTAAAAAATGTCTGTCAAGATGATCAATTTTCAAATTATATATTTCACTTCACAGAAGAGGCAAATATTACTTTAAGATAGATTTTTTAAAATTTGTTATAGAAATCAACCAAATTTAAATGACTAAGAGAAGTTTAAATTATTTTTTAAAAGAATTTTAAGGATAAAATTGTTTTCAAATACAAATGTTTTTCTTTTTTTTAATCATTTCACAATGGCAACAAAAAAAATAAAGCCACTAAAACACAAGCAGTTACTGAATGTAAAAGAAAACATTAAAGTGTGAGAACAAAGAAAGAAGAAGAATCAAGAAGACAGTAGATAATGATTGACATTGCATTTAAATATTTAAAGATCAACGTTGGCTGGAAAACAAGAATCCAGAATTGAATTCCACAGGTGAAAAGTGCAGGAAAAGAAACAATGAAAAGAAACAAATAAATTATGGTTACATCTAGCCAATTCAACTGTAAAATGATGAGACCTAGCTCCCAATCTAGTACTGCACTTAAATTCATAAAGTCTAGGTACCATCAGAACAATTACCATGAAAGTGTTTATAGAAAAGGCAGAGGGAAGTAACATTATAGCAGTGGGAAAGTGATTGAAGCCAGGATTTCAGGTCAGGACAAATGACATTGCAGATTCTTCTTTGGAATTCATCAAGAATATTTAAATATGAGGCAGACCATATGTGGCAGCAATATTCAAAGCATAGATGAATGGTAGACTTATAAATATGTAAGATAGAGTTTGTTGAGAAAAAAATGTCTAACAATACACAGGTAACCAACTTTTCAAGCAGATGACCTAGCAATTAAATCAATATAACCTTTCCATTTCATGTCAGTCGAGAACATTAGCATGAAAAGGCATAATGAATCACTCTCCTGAAGGTTAGCATCAACCATACTGATGGAAGGCAGAAACGGGTCTCTTAAGATGATTAACAGAAAGCAGTTTTGTTTTGGAGGTGTTAAAATTAACAAGCCATTCCTTGCCCCAATTAACAGCAGATTTTAAGTCACTTTTGAGATCAGCTGGTATTTGGCCTTGATGCTGGATTCATTTTACAAGCATTTTGAATGCCCTTTTAGAATTAATTTGATAAATATAAGTACTAATATAAGTCATATTTTTAAATAACCTCATTAGACCGGGACTCTCATCAGGTTATCATTCAGAAATATTTAAACTGTCAACTGTATACAACTGCTTTCTTTCAGGGATTAGGGCTTATGGCCATATCATGTTGAAACTCTGGTCCTTGTCTGGTCACTGAAGTTAAGCAATGTTGAGCCTGGTCAGTACCTAGTTGGGTGACCACTTTGGAATATCTTGTACTGTAAGCTTGGATGTCTTTGTGGTGCAATAGAAAAGGGCTTGCAAGTAAAATTTGGAGAGATCTGAGTTTGAATTCCAGTCAGGTTCCTTATATCCACTTATATAAAAATATCCATGGGGAAGTTATGAATGCACCTCTTCTCACAGCTATGGGTTAAACAGCCAGATTTGTATTGGAAAATCATTATTACCACCCAAAAATTCTTAAAATCCAAAAATATGTTCCAGTTTTAAATAACCTTAAAAAAAGTTGATAAGTCATAAAAAGCAAATCAGTCAATCCGTCAGATCAGGAATTAAAAATGGCTTTGAACAAATAAATAATGTTGGTTTTAGAAAGGACCATTCTTCTTTGAATCTTTTGAAACTGTCATTACAGAATCACAAAGAAATTTATCAGACAACAAAAACCATATCAGTTGAGGACTTTTAATAGCAGCAACAACTAAAATGGATAATGCAGAGAGAAAATAAGGATGTAATGAAGATGTTGACTTTCCAAACAAAAGTTTAGGAAGGAAGCTTCCATCAATGCTAGAAAGAAAAGGCAGAGGGAAGTAACATTATAGCAGTGGGAAAGTGATTGGAGCCAGAATTTCAGGTCCGGACAAATGACATTGCAGATTCTTCTTTGGAATTTATCAAGAATATTTAAATATGTGGCAGGAGCACCAGACCATATGTGGCAGCAATATTCAAAGCATGGATGAATGGTAGACTTATAAATATTTAAGACTGGACTTGAAAAACCTTTTATCTGAAAAATTGTTTTGCGCGAAAGATTTTATAAATTTCAACCAACAGTGATGCTGTTTGATCAGTGAATACTGAATGTTTTTTTTTATACAAAGAAATGGCTAATATTATCATATTGTCTACATTATTGTAAATCTGGAGATTTTAATTGCCTTGAGAGGAAATTGAAAGCTTCTCTTGCTCAATCAGCAGAAGTTCATGAGGTTTTTCTCAATTAGTGTTTAAGGGCTTGTGCTGGTTGTAAACTCCTGGCAGCAAGAAGAATTTTCAACTTTGAATTTTGTCCAGATTTTATGCTCAAAATAAAATACAGGAATACAAGCTTCTGTACAAAGCTACATTTATGGAGTGCCCAGTAACGGAAAAGTTTGATATACACCTCTTTGGATATCTTTTAATTGGTTGATTAAGTTGTTTTCTTTGGCTTATCAGCCATTTGCAGATTATTGAAAGCCAGAAATATTTTTTTTTAAATTTATGAATATGTTTTTTTTTTTTTGAGATAATAATGGTCTATTAATACAAGTTTTACTAATTAACCCATAACTGGGAGAAGAAGAATTGGATTCATACCTTTCCCAAGGATATTTGCATATAAGTGAATATAATAAACCCAATTGGACTTATCAATTCCAAGCCATTATCCATTATACACCTGCACATCTTTTACAGCACCTGTTATTCCCAAGCAGTCACCCATCTAGGTACTGACCAGGCTCAATGTTGCTTAACTTTGGTGATCATACAGGAACTGGTGTTTTAATGTAATGTAGTCACAAAGTGGATATCTTTTAAAATGTCTTAACTGAATGCTTGTTTTAAAATGCAGCTTTCAACATTCCACTCCACAATATTTAATTTTTAAACAGAGGTACTCGGTGTCATACACAGGTACAAAAATGTCTTGATGATCGTGACTTTTTTCAATTCAACTTCCTTAGGTGCCATGTGTGTGCATGCTTGGTCAATTATGTATTTTTTCTATTCGTGACTGACTTGACAAAAGTTTTCCCACAGTAGGCTGCAGTTACTTTCTGTAGTAGACTGGGTGTCAACCTAGTCTGTCCTGCTATTTAACCCATAGCTGGGGGAATAAGAGATGGATTCATACCTTTCTCAAGGTTATTTGTGCATAAGTGAATGTCATTATCTCATTCCAAACCATTACCTATCACCCCCAACCGTTCATCCTAGTTTACAGTACCTTGTAATCTCAAATGGTCACTTATCTAGGTACTGACCAGGGCCAGCTTTGCTTAACTTTGGTGATTGGATGAAAACCTATGTTTCAGCATGATATTGCTGTAAGCCTTATGAAGATTCTTTTTCTATGTACTGTGTCCCTTCAGGACTTGAGTGATCATAGCTCTCCACAATTTCCTGTCTTTCATAGCTTTTAATAAATTTTGTCTTTTTTGTTATCTCTCGTAAACCATATTCTTCCATACATTTATTCAAGCTTGCTAGGTAGGTTATACATTGTTTTCCCCTATCTCTCTTGTCTTTAAGTTTCCAAGCCCTCTTTCCTCATTATGTGCTCTAAAAATGTCAATTCTGTCTTCCTGATGTTAAGTATAATTATTTACCCGCTGTCCTATGCAGCAAGATGTGGCACAAGGCCAAGTTTAAATTGGGGTATCTGAGCCCAGAGGCTCGAGCAAAAATTCCCTACAGACCATGTAAAAATGGAGTCAGTTTCCTGAGATGAGACTCTGCCCCTCGGCAGAGCCTCGTCTGGGGGATACCCTCTGACATAAGCCAAGTATAAGTGTGATCTTTGTTTCCATTTTCTCTAAAATTCTGTTGTTGCTGAAATAATTGGTTCATGGTATTCTCAGCATCCTTCTGTAGAACCACAAGTCTCTTCATCTTTTTGGAGATTGTCCTACATTCATTGTCATATTGAAGAACTGATAATATATAACAAAAATATTATTTTCCTTGTTATCCTGTTTCTTATTATTTTCTTTTTTTTTTCTGTGCTGTGTCCTTTCAGGCCATAGGCTATCACGGCTCTCCACTTCTTCCTATCCCTTGTAGTTCTCAATAAGTCTAGTTGTTTTTTTTGCTACTGCTCCCAGACCCTGTTCTGCCATCAACTTGCTTAAGCCTGCTAAGTATGTCATGCATTGCCTCCTCTTGTTCCTCTTTCCCTCTATCCACCCTGTGAGTAGCAGATTTTCCAAGCCTTCCTTTCTCATTTAGTTAACTTTTGGAAGGCATCTTTTGCAATCCCAATGCACCTTTGGATATCAGGGTCACACTTTCCATCCTCTGTTAAAACACTTTCTTGATATTTAAATTGTTGCATTTGTTTTATTTTGCTATCTCCAATTTGTAATTTGCATGTTGGACTGTTCCTTTTTTCTAACAACCATGCATTCTGTCTTCTTGCCAATTGATGTTTAGTTCTTTTTTCTCACTTTTCTTAAAATTATTTGATGAGAAAATCTACCTGAAGATACATGTTTATGGTGACTATAAATTTAGGATATTGGACTTAGAAAATTAGTAGAAAATCACATGAATAGGCTTAAGTAAACAAAAAAAAAGTTGATCCAAATAATAACTTGAAATTAGCTTCTAAACCAGTGAACCTCAAAATGTCTCAGAACTCACTTATCCTTACTGCTGTAATGAAAGATCATTATGGTTTTGTATTGTCTTGACTTTGGTCACTTTTTCACCAATCTGATGTGGCTTCCCTCTGTCTTTTCTACAAATATTTCCATGGCAACTTCTCTGATAAGATTTTTTTCCCCTGCTGTCCCAACTATATGAATTTAAGTGTGCTACTAGACCTCAACATTTTACTGTTGAACTAACTAGATGTAAAACTGCCACTTCTATTCTAAGAGTTTCTTTCCCCCCACTTCCAGTCTGTAGAACTCCCTTCTGATTTCTTGTTTCCTATCTTCTGTTTTCTTGAACCATATTTCCTTTTTTGTCCTTCTTTCAGCCTTCCCTGTTAATCTTCATGAGTTGCTCTCCTTGGCAACTCTTCAACCAGAAAAGGGGTGGCTTACCTGGAAAGGGCTGAGCAGCTATTTTTACTTAGGGCACACATGTGGAGAATAAAAGATTCAAAATAAAACATTCTCTTTCCATTACATGTCAGAGTTCCTTTAATTTGAATTTACATTGGTATCAGAGCACATCGATCAACACAATGGCTTCAAAATTGGGTTCAGTTGACTTCAAAATTCCTCCATCTATTTTAAACACAGATAAATACAATACTTGAAAAAAAGAAATGCAAGTTTGGGAATATGCTACCTTCATCGACAAACCTCGCTGCACACCAATAGTATTTTTATCCCTGGAAAGAAAAGCCAGAGAGGCTGTATTGGAACTGGATATCACCACATTACATGCTGATTATGGAATGGAAAAATTATATGAAAAGTTTGATATGCTCTTTTTAGAGGATGCTAACCAGTCAGTTTTTATGATATACAAGCTATTTGAACAATATCAGTGACAGAATGACATGTCAATAGATAACTACCTTATTAACTTAAGTCATGTCACAAAGTTAAAGGACCATAAAATACAATTATCAGAGCTGGTGCTTGTCTACAGAGTATTAAAAAGTGCAAATCTGACAACTGAGAATAAGCAACTAGTAAAAGCAACCACTTGCAAATTAACAGTGTCTGCAATGTCTAAACAACATAAAAAAATTATGTGCAGTTTTCTGATAATTCATCAACAAATACTCCACCAGTTGTGATAAAGAGAGATATAGATTGTACCTACAATGAAAACAGCCAGGAAGACACTAATGTAGTATATTATGGCCATTTGTCAAACTAGTGTCTTTCTCGGTTTTCCAGTTGGCAAGGTAACAGTCAAAAGAGGATGTAAGAACAAAATTCTGGTATCTTCTGACAAAATTTCAGACTTATCTGAATTTGAAGCAATGCCACCAAATGCTTCACTGTGGCAGCAAATTGCACTAGAGTTACAATTGTCCATATGCTGATAGCACCAATAATATGCAGGATAGGAGTCAAAAGGATGGCTACATATCTGTAACCAACATTATGCTAATGAGTCAGCAAAAGTGCAAAGATAATAGTCAAACACTTTTAGATGAGACAATTGGTTCAGGAGTTGTAGACAGTGGTGCTTCTTCCACTGTTTGTAGGACTATATGAGTGTTTTCTAGATACTATTCCTGTTCAAGAAAAAAACAAAATAAATGTCCAAGAAGGACTGAGAACTTACAAGATCAGTGACAGAAAGTA